GCCCCCCCCCCCCCCCCCCCGCCCCTACCCGAAAGGCTAACAGCCTTCCCCACTCCGGGAGACCCTCGACGACGACCTCTGGTGCAATTCGACTGGGACGGGTCAGAGAATGTCGACGAGAAACGGGCAGCCAGGTCGAGGAGGAGGAAGGGAGCGGCCGCAAGCCGTGGGTACCGCGGGATATCGGAGGGAGTTGCTCGGGAGGGAGGCGGTGGCGGCGGTGTGCCTGGAGTGATCACGCTCAACCCTAAGATGCACTGGATGCCCGTGAGTTTTGGTTGTCGCTGGGGTCGGTGTGGGACATACGTCCATGCTTCCCGAAAACAGGCTTGTTTTGGTCGTGCTTTTGATGTATTTGCTGCAGGATGATCATCCCGGCGCGATGGCCATCATTTTTATGCCGCCGATGGACGACAGCGTACGTACTTTTTTTTTTCTTTTTAATTACAGTTTTTGTGTATTTTGCAGAGGTGTTTGGCTGGGCATGCTTCTCGTCGAGACGTCGGATCCAGAATGCGTACCCTTAACGCTCTGGTGGAATTGTCATTGGATCAAGCGACCATGTGCCATGCAGCACCATAGAACTCGTAGATGGCGGAATTTTCTTCAGCGGCCTGCTCCACACGACCACCCAGAGAGAGAGAGAGAGAGAGAGAGAGAGATTCACACACACACACACATCTGCGTTCCCCCTGTCTCCTCCCTGTCGGTAGGACCCTTTGACGAGAAATGGTTATTTTTATGTATCCCGCTACAAGACTGACGTCTTTTTATTGGTCAGCCGGTTTGCGCGGTCGAACAAACAAAAAAAACACATACATGCACGCACACAGAAAAATTTGTATCCTGCTTCAAGACTGAATGACGTATTTTCTCTTTCATTGGTCAACCGGTTAGCGCGGCCGATGATATTTTACAAAACACACACAGAGAGAGAAGAGGGGGGGGGAGGATACCCTTAGCTCTCTCGTGGAATTCTCAATGGATGAAGCGCCGCATGTCGTCCAAGGTTTCACAGTTCGCCAGCGAAACAAGAAGCGGCTTGGTACTAACTAAAAAGCATCGCTGCGGTATATCTCCACGCATTGCAGGACAGGATGTGCAGGGTCTGCTACGGGTGCAATAGCCCCTTCACGATGTTCAGGCGCCGCCACCACTGCCGAGTGTGCGGACAGATCTTCTGCCACACGTGCAGCTCTAACCACGTGGACGCTCGGGCACTCGGAATTAACGGTGAGGCCTGCTGCAATCGAACGCAGTTTTTTGTTTCTTTTTTTCCCGTCGGCTTTCGTTTTTGTTCCAAGAGTTTTGGAAAGGAGCAAGCCCTGGGTTTCAGGCCTGCTACAATCGAGCGCCCGTTGTTTTCCCGACAACGTGCTGTAAGGGGGTAAGCGCTGAGTTTTGCTGCAAAGAAAAAATGAGAAACTACTGTTGGAAGAAAACAACAGCCCGGACTGGGAACTGCAACATCTTCAGGAAAAACAAAAACTCAAGCAACAAAATGTCGATTGGGTGATTTGAGATGGCTCGAGGACCCGTGAGTCTTTTGAAACCCTCGAACTCTGTGGAACCCACAGGGATATCATACGGTAAGCCGATCCGTCTACCACTTGAAAGTCGAGAGCATGCTTCCTTGAACGCAACCGTTTGTGGCACTAACGAATACGCGCCTCATAATCTCACTTGTTCTGGACGTCGGGGTCTCTAAACCACTCGGCATGTTTGCAAGCACCGGACGGGCGGGATCACAGAAGAACAACAACACTCGTTTTTGATTTCTGTTGTTGTCCACCTTCCAACTGCAACAAATTGTTGAATGGCATGAAGGTTGACTATCCCACCCCCCCTCTCCGCGATTCCGCGGTGCCCCTCCCCGCCGACACACCCAATTTATTTCGATGGAATGCCGTGGTAGCATCCGTCCGCATGTGCAACCCATGTGCCGAGCAGCTGCCGGACTCGAGGCTGCGGAGACTTGAAGCTGGACCTCTACCAGACCGAGAAGCTAAGGTATTTGCTCAGAGTTTGATGCTGAAATATTTTCTTTTGTCTTGTTGTTATTATTGTTGTTGTTGTTGCTGCGGAGACTTGAAGCTGGACCTTTACCAGACCGAGAAGCTACGGTATTTGCTCAGAGTTTGATGCTGAAATATTTTCTTTTGTCTTGTTGTTGTTGTTGTTGTTGTTGTTGTTGTTGTTGTTGTTGTTGTTGTTGTTGTTGTTGTTGTTGTTGTTGTGGTGGTGGTGGTGGTGGTGGTGGTGGTGTTGTTATCGTCGTTGTCATCGTCGTCGATTTGTTCGACAGACCTATGTGATCGTCGCGTGTTTAAGCAGGCTTCGGTTGGGGCGATGAGGTTGGTACGTACGCGTACATTTCTCTTTTCGTGCTCCCCCTGGCGGCACTTTTGACCATCGACGCAGGAAACCTACTTCTATGTGGCACGGGGTCCACCGCCGGATGAATATACCGCACCGTCACCAAGATGTGGTCTCGCATTCCTCTCACCACCAACCACAGCAGTTTAGTGATATAACGCGCTGGGGGGGTAGTAGAGGCCACCGGGCCACGCACGATCGAAAAGAAATTGCATGTCGTACCCCCACCATTTTGTTGTCTGTCGCTACGGCGTGTGTCTTTCTCTGTCTGTGTCTTTCTCCTTCTCTTCCTCTTCTCTCCATCTGCTCTCTTCCTGTTCTTTTTCATTTTTCTTTTTCTTTTTCCTTTTCTTTTTCTATCTTTTTCCAATCGAGGGTTACCTCGCATAGCGTGTAGAGGTGAGCGGAGCGGCCTAGACTATCTGTCGTGAACTTTTGTTGGCTTGCGGACCCTTCGGGTCCGTTTTATTTTCGTATACCTTTTTTGGGTAGGTTACAAGTAGCCTGTGACGACGGGAATCGACCCCGTCAAGTGTTGGAATATAATCGTACGGACAGAAGAAGGGACTGGGCAGAGAGAACGGAACGATTTTTAATGTGAAGACAACAACAACAACAACCCCCGCCACGACGAAGAAGAAATGACATGTCGTACCCCCCGTCGTGGTGCTTGAAACGGTGCAGGACACGGCGGGTAACCCACGGCGGTCATCATCCAAGCGCCGAAGAAGCCCGCTGGACAACAGGGCGGCAGGCGGCGTATCTCCCGTGGGCGTCTCCAGCGGTGGACAGTCGAAGCGGGAGCGCGGCACCCCGCCTCCCTACACCCGAGCTCCCCCGGAGAAGACTCCCACCGCCGCCGCGGCCGCTGCAGAAGCTCTCGCCAACGCCGTGAGAAAGTCCGCGATAGCGGCGGAGGAGGCGCGGGGGGACGGGGTTGGGGGCGGGGGCGGGAGTGGGGGTGCGTTCGCGGCGAAAAAGTTCAAGGGGTTCATGGAGTCGTTGATGGGGAACGTGGAACGGCCGGAGGAGACGGAGATGGCAAGGTTTGCCCTGGAGCGGGTGGCGGTCGCTCACTTGGAGGTGTGGAGGCGTTATTGCGGTCGTCGTCGTGGTTGTTGTTGTCGTCTATAGAAGCCGAAATCTAGTCAGCGGCTGACTAGTTTAATGGTTTTGATTTCGGCTTCTACACATGGACGTTGTTGTTGGTCATGCTTTTGCTGCTACAGCAAGTGCTCCCGTTTTTGCTTGCCGTCATTTTTCGTCATTGTTGTCATCGGTGTTGCTGTTGGTAATGCTTTTTGCTGCTGCAGCAGTATGTTCCCGTCTTGCTGTTGTTGTCGTCGTCGTTCGGCGTTTTTTTTTTTTGCTGTTGTTGTTGTTGTTGCTGCTGCTACTATTGCTGCTGCTGCTGTTATCGCCCTGTTCGCATGAAGATGTTCTGGGGTTCTCCTGCCCATTGCCTCGCGAGCCAAATATCAAGCCTCGCGTAGGCAGAACCTCAATACATTTCATCTCTCACCTCCCCCCCCTCCTATTCGGCTGGTCGGAGGGGGCCGCGGCAGAGCTCCACAGTTCGGACTGCATCAGATTACATGGGTGTAGCCCACTTGTAGGTTTCCTGCAAGGTGTATTTTGTTTTGTTCTGTTTCTTTTGGGTTCAAGTGGGCGGATGCTGGACGGGGACAACAAGAGGGCTTAGCTATATCCGGAGAATGAACTATTGGGGCTAAGAAACACATGTCAGCGGTGGATCAGACATAGCATCCTAAGTGGCAGTCTTTGCTCTCGAAGGTGGCGACGAAGTGTGAAACTGTGCGTCGACCCAAAGTCAACGTTTCCTAGTAGCGGGGCCCCCGGCACTGTTCTTCTTGTTGGTCGGCACCATGGCAAGTTGGGCGTGTTTTTTGTGTTGTCGCGATTGCCGTTTAGGGGGGTGGGGTCGGACACCGCTTGCTAGCCCCCATCTAGTTGTTCAGCATCCCCCATTCCCCTGCACCAGTCTTATCTTTCGCAGAGGAATGACCCCCCCCCCCCC